TTCCTGAGTCACTGTTCTAGGCTCTAAGTGTCTTAGTCCAGGCCCTTGCTGGCTCACCTCCACAGCAGACTTTAATACGATGCTTCTTAAAACTGGAGGAATCTTAGAAGGACCCCTTAAAGAGTCAGCTGAAAAACTCTGTCACTTTGTAGAAAAGCTGTACCTAGCTGCACATCTGAATGTGTGCACAGTTTCACAGCCCACCCCAGAGCTCCTGCCAGAAGCCAAGCCCGTTTTGGCTTCCAAAGGCTGGTGACAGCCATGCCTTTGCCTGTGTTAGAAATCTGTCCGTGAGGGCTTTACATTTGCACTCAAGCAAGTTGTCTTTAAGAAGCCAGCATCACTCTGAATCCCGAATTTCCTCACTCCGCATCCCTGGCTCTGCATCCTCTGAAGACTCTGGACTTTGGAAGTCATTTTGGGGGAAGATGATGACATGTCAACTGTTTTGCACTCTCACCATCACACCATTGTCTTCTGTCTCTGTTCTTAAATTCCACTTTTGTTAGTTTTATTTTTGTTAGATGAATTTTCCCAGCCCACATTCCTTCCCATCCTCCCCAAAAGAGAAAGAAAAGGGGGAGACACACCAACTTTATTCCCTTGCTCTAAGTTATCGTGAAAGTTTCTTCTAAGGGAACCCAGGAGGCGTGGAGAGTCACTGACTACGTGAGCAGAAGGAGTAACTCCCGGCCGTCTGACGCAGAAGCCGTTCCCCACCAGTGCAGTTTAATTCTGTAAGAAGCTGCATCCCTGGATTTCAGAGTTAAACTCACACCCCCAGTATGCCGATAATCATTTCAAACTCAAAAATTATACGGGGCAGTCCGAAATTAAGAGTAGGATCTTGTCAGTGTGGACATGTGGTCAACCCCAGACTCCCAATTGCAAGGTGCCTGCACCCCACTATTTCCCTGAAGTGGTCCTCACCAGAATTGCACCTTCTTCCCTGGTTATCAAAAGGCAAATGAATTAAGCTGGACATGGTCAGCCAGCTTCCTCAGAAACAGGAAATCCATCTGTCTGATCTTCTCACCAAGACCCTTACATAGCTGACGCTCTCCTGCTGGTCCTGGCAGCTCAAGGCCACGCCACAGACCCCACTGGACCCCAAGTTCCTCCCCCATCAGGCAGCAGGCAGAAAATGGAGAGATAATCACCATCCATATGCCATCCTGCTAAAATTCTAGCCCTGAGTATCCTCAGATCTGACCTCTCCCCTTCACCTCGACTCCCTTTAAATCTGAGTTACACTCCAGAATGAAAAATATTAAAAAAGAACAATACAGGTCACCACTTTAGACTCAGGAGGTGGAAAAACAGACATGAGAAGCTCAAGGTTGGTGGGGTTTTTTTTTTCTGGAAAGCAGATGTAGGAAACATCTTCACCCCCTCTCCCTTAAAAAAAAAAAAAAAAACTGAAATCCATGATAATGAGAGGGTCCCCGCTGACTTCCCTAAGTATTTAGAGGGTGAAAGATATATTTGACTTTCCAATCTACTTCACACTTTACAGTGTTCAGAGTTCCATTGTGTTTTCCTGTGCCTTGGGAGCAGCTGATGGAGTCTGGAGTGAGCTTTTTTCTCACTCCTGTTACTACTGACCTAACTGGGCTAACTGGGGGCGACTGGAGATGCAGAAAGGATAAACGATAGACAGACAGACATGCAGAAAGCTGGGGCCATGTGTGCTGTGCTGGGCGCTCAGATGGAGACACACAACAGCCTCGTGGCTTTTCTCTAATAATTCTTCTTTCACTTTGCTTCTTTTCTCTTATTCTTTAAGGCCTTGTTTCTTCACTATTCTTTAAAACCTTGCTTCTTTTCTATTCTTTAAAGTCTCTTTCCTTAGACTCGCTCTGTCCCATGTTCTCTCTTTAGCTTTCTTAAAGCCTCGGTGCTCATCCGTGCACTGTCCCATGTTTCCTCTAATCTCTGGCATTAACTCTGCTGCTGCAGCAGCGTCATTCTGTAGCAGTCCCCTCGCAAGCCACCAACCAATCAATCCATCCCCCATCAAAACACCTCCTGTCCTCCTTCAGCGAGTCTTTTATACCCAGTGGTAAACAAGGAGGTGGAGCAACAGTTCTTGGGGAGGGGCGTGACACTGTAACAAGAGAAACCTGTGTTCCCACTTCTCTGAACCCAACTTAGGAAACACAGCTATGCTGCATTTCAAACTCAGCCTGCCAGTTACGGGCACAGCTGTGCTTATGTCACTTCTCATAGGAGTCGAGGGACTTCTTCCTTGCCTTTTCCCAGGGACTGCACCATGGTGACAGTCCTCGAGCTCAGTGGTAAGGGTTGTCTCCCCTTGCCCCAGAGACCTCCGCACGCTTCAGGCCCTCTTCTACCAACACATTGCTTTCTGCTGACACCCCAATCTGCATATCCAGCTCAGACAACCCCACCAGGCAATCAAACTCACCACCATTCTCATCAACCTGGAAAGGAACAAGGAGAGTCCTGAGGACCAGAATCTGCAATCAAATGGAAGCAAGGAAGGACTGGTGGTTCGTGTCAACAGCAGACCCAGTAAACAAACAAGTACTTACAGTCTTCACTACTTTAAAAGACACAATGCTAGATCCTGAAGCAACCCAATGAAACCCAATGACAGTGCTGTGTCCTCTGTGGACTCATGGTGTAGCCAAGGACACAAGACACAATGACATCTCAAGTGATGAGCGAGGTGGGCTCACCTCTGATGGTCAGTAGAGACATGCTTCACGTCAGCAAGAGCTCTCTGTAGGAAAGACACTCTAATTGGTGCTAAGTCTGCAAACCTCCTTTCTGCTGTAGAAACAGAACCCCAGACCTGACCCTGGCTGCCCAGCTGGGAGGCCCTTGCAACTGACTGCCACCAGGTACCAAGGTCAAGTCCACAGGATGTGGTGGTCTTAGAGGCACATGCAGCTTCCTACAGGAATCTGCTCGTTCCCTCTGTTCTCTCTGGCTGGACTTGGACACCCTGTGTCAGGTCAGCCATCAGGGACTGAGTGGCACCTGCTGAGGGGCCCAGAAGAACAAAATAAGGGAGGCTGGGTCCCTAACTTTCAGAGTTGCTCACCATACCTACCTTGCCTTTTCCCCCAAATGCCGCATTCTGCCACCATTGCAAAAGTCATAGATTTTAAAGAACAATAGATATTATTTATTTATTAAATAGTTTTAGTTTAAAACATTTTATCTAACACTTAAGAGAGTCGTGGTTCATGCATGCATATGTGTCCAGGTAGCTGTGTACTATTCCTTCACACTTCATCATAATAATAATAATAATTCCCCCAGAATTATTAATTCTCAAAACCCCAGACACAGCCAAATATGGACCTTGGTTGAGTGTTCTTACATGTCAATAGATAAAAGCTTCAATTTACTGAGGAATTCATTTTTTTATTTATTTGTTTTCCATACCTTCACCAACCCTGGGTTATTGATTTGCATCACCCACAGACAAATCTCCTGAGACTGGTTAAAAATTAGATTCAGCCTAAAACATTTGTAAATCAACATATAAGGAAAGAAGGGCTGATGCAGAAAAATTCAAGTGTGAAACATAAAGGGGCCTCATCAGCAATTTAGAGCCATCCGGGTAACAATCTCTCATTCCATTTGTTTATGTTTTATTCATCATTTTGAAAGCACTTCATGAAGTGACAATCACGAGACTCAAAAAGTACTGCACAGTTCCCTTTTTTAAAAAAAAAGAGATATTAATGGCTTTCAAGAGCTCGACAATTCAAATGAAAATAGTGCTGGGCTATATTTGCTCAAATCTGCTCACGTCTTCTTTATTCTCAGAATCTATTCCCCATTTGCATCAAAAACTATGTGGTGACAACATGAGAGATTTCATAGTTTTTGTTGTGGGTTATGAGCACTGGGCCAGCTCAGAAATTCATGGCAAAGATACCATAGCCACCGATTGTGCCCCTGGCTTCAGACACCAAAGAAACGGCTCCCCACACAAGCTGGTGGCCTTTACGACAAAGTTCATTCATCCCAAAACAGCACACCCAATTTCCACTAGCTGCTTTTACATTTCTTTGTTAGGATTTTAAATACAAATCTGACATTGTAGGATGTTTTCAAACACCCATATTTTAAACCTGACTCCTAAATATGCTTATTTTTTTAAATAAGCGTACTGGACACACACGGCCATTATGCATATTCTTTTCTTATTCATTATGCATTTTCTTTTGTTTTCTTAGTTTGAAAAAACATTTAGGGACCAGGCTGTGTCATCTATAACCTCTGCCATCTAACAACTTCTAGTTTCTAGGGAGAAAGAAGACATGCGTGCACACACACGCACACACACATGCTTATGCACACACATGCACCATGCACACACCAGGGTCTTTGTGCACTGATCTGCACCACTTGTCTGTCTGCAAGATGTATGTTATTTTTCTCCTTCTGGTGACGAAATGGGCTCCAGAAGCTACTATATTTTAAGCCTGAATATGCTTGTAATGATTTCACTCTGTATTAGAAACTGAATCACATTTTTAAGAAATCCGTTTCCACTATCCCCATGTGAACTGAGCCAGTGTCTTCTAAGACCCTGGAGGTGGCCTCAGTTCCCCTAACGAGGTGAACACAAGGCACCAGAACACGTGAGCTGCTCCAATGCAGGTGGAGACGTCTCTGTGTCCCTGTCCCTGGGGAGAGGAGCCCTCAGAGGATCTCACACGTGGAAGAGCCTCTCCTCAATCTCACAGTCAGCCTGTGGCTGCAGACGGGCCGACAGCCAAGGTACAAAAGGAAGACACTTGTCAAAGAGGAATAATACTCAAGATTTGTGCGGGTGGCGGTGGGGGAGGCTCCAAATAACCCAAGTCCTTTAGCAAATAGGATGGGAAGGGGAAATGCCACTCCTCCTGCCAGGGCTCCTACCGAAAATGACACCCATGCAAGGCCACGTGTTTGTGACACCCATCACAGTGTGGTCACCTGAAGCACAGAATGTCCTGCACAGTGTGTCTACTCACGGTGGGCAGCCTCCCGGAGCCGCAGCTCCCGCTTCAGCCTGCTGTAGTCCTCCTTAATGCCTGCCAGCTTCCAGGGGGTCCTGGAGCTCAGCGCTGACAGCCTGCCGAGGACAGCCTCCAGCCCTTCTCGCTCTGATGTCAGGGACCTGATCTCCTCTTCGAGATCCTTGGCTGTGCAGAAATGGCTTCCTGCAGCACAGGGTGGGGGAGAAAGAAGGGAGGAGGCTTTGCAGCATCCACAAACATGGAAGAAGTAGCTGCAGCTCCAGTGCACTCAGCATGGGCAAAGGGACCAAACTCTGTGGTGAGCACGACTGCTTCCACAGGGTGGGGTGGAGGATGCTGAAAAAGCTCTGTCCTCCTTCCTCTGGAAAAGCGCCCTCCCCTCCATCACCTTCTTCTAGTTATGTCTGCCTTAGGAGTTCCAATGGCTAATTCGGATCCTGTGAAAATATCCCGGGGGACCCAGGAAGACCATCAGGTACCACTCTACTCAGTACCCAAATGTCAAAGAAGTGACATGACATGGTATCCCAAGATCAAAAGGGACTCAGCTTCAGAATTAGACAGCACCTAAATTCAAGTCCTAGTCCCCCTTTTCTAGACTGCGTGATGTGGAACAAGGAGAAAACATTTTATGAAATACAAGCATAGCAACACGTGAATCGCAGGTGGCTGTGACAATGAAGAAATTCTGTAAACCACTGAGCAAAACAAACGGCACCTTGAATGTCGTGAGGTTAACCTTCAAAAAGCAATTTTATGTCTAAATAGTAACAAATCACGGCCAGATGATTCTAATACAAAGTATATTAAAACTGAAAATACTGAGGGATAAATTTAAGGAAATGTATGCAAGGGTGCTGCAGTGAAAACTGCTTTTTAAAGCCTGATGAGAGGAAGGAACACTTAAATAGTTAAAAAAATGAGCCATAAACAAGTATTTGGAAAACTCGCTGTTAAGAAGTTTCAATTTTTCCCCAGATTGATTCACTGACTTAATACAATCCCAATCAAAATTTCATGAGGCGCTTTTATTGAGATTTATGAGCTTATTCTAAAATGTGAAAGAAAATGCAAAGGCCTACATAAGCCGAAGCGACCTTTAAAAAGTCAGTCTCGCTCCCACAACTAGCGCCACAGTTACCATGGATCAAGACATTGTGGTATCAGCACACAAAGTGATCAGATCGACGGGCTAGAATACACAATCTCAAAGTGGATATACACTCATATAGTCCATTGATTTTCAACCAAAGTACAAAGCAAGTCAATGAGGAAAAGAAAGTATTGCCAACAAATGGTGAGAGAGATACATAGCAATTGATTGTCATATGGGGACAATGACCTTGAGCTGGGCCTTAAACCACACACAAAACAGAATTAGAGATGAATCACAGGACTCAACGAAATTAAAGTACAGTATATCCACAGGTGGAAAACCATGGCAAAACCCCCAAGAACAATGAACACACACGTAAACAGTGAAGGTCCTGTTACAGGGAGGGCACTAGAGGGAGGAATAGGGTGACCAGAGAGGGTAGAGGTGAATATGGTCAATGTACTTTATATATTTGTATGAAAACAGAACATTGAAACCTGCTGAAATCATCTTCAGTAGAGGGGAGGCAGGTAAGAGAGAAAGATGGTGGGGGTGAATCCCACCAAGGTACATTGTAAGCATACATGGAAATGTCACAATGAAACCCCCTGTACGACTAATATATGCTAATAAAAATGTTTTTAAAAACTATAAAACTTCTGGAAGGAAATAAAGAATATCGTACTGACTTTGGAATAGATGAAATATTGTATAGAACACAAAATTATTTTTAAAAAAAAAGCATGAAATCAAAATTTCATGCTTTTTCTCAAAAGGCAGCATTAAGAAAATGAGTCACAGACTGGGAGAAAATATTTCTACACATCTATCTGACAAAGGACTCTATCCTACAAATGAACAATGAAAACAGAAATACCACCACAGAAAATGAGTAAAGGACTCCCCAGGCATTTTAATGAGGTGTGCAGGTAGTCGTCAGGAAATGCAGATCAAAGCCACAGAGACCCTCTACAAGCCCACGCCAGTGGCTCAGCAGCTGAACTGAAATGTCAGCCTGACAAGGCTGTGGGCTACCCAGTCTCTCACAATTGACAAACGCTGCGACCCAAAGGGAAAAGTCCTGTCAGATTCTCAGACTTAACCAGACACCACCCTTTGATCCGACCATTCACTGCTAAGTATTTACACTAGAGGAATGAAAACAAGCGAGCAAAAGCACTTGTTCTCGAATGTTCCTATCAGCTTTACCGCGAAAGTCCACTTTCATGGAAGCACCCTAGGCGTCCATCAACAAGAAAATACAAAACCCACAGGGCATCCTCACAACAAGAGACTGCTCGGCAGCAACAGAGAACAAATGTCACAGCAGAGACGTGCTCCAAAGAAGATAGACAAAAACAGATGGAAAGGAGTGTCATGTGCCACCCAACGCCACTGCTGGGGAAAAGAAGGAGACACCGCTGCTCGGTGCAGGTCTTCTGGTGGTACAGGTGTCAAGGTCCACAGAGGTGTACACAGAAGACCAGTGCATTTTAATAAAAAGGAAAAATCGGGACGTTTAAACGTGAGACTTGAACTAGAAACTAATAAACATCTTATATCAGCAAGTGCCCCTCAAACAACAGTCACTGTCACAAGAAGATCGCACTGTGCGTTTGCTGTAACCATGACCACAGCATCAGCTAGGAGCCTTCTTTTCTCTAAGCTCAGCTCATTGTTGGGAGGTGGGTTATTCCCTGCACTGTCCACATGAAGATGCAATTGTTTTTCACGCTTTAGCACCTCTGGGCCAGGGTGTGTTCAGAGGCCATCAGCCAGCATGCAGTCAGGATAGATTTGCACAATGTAATTGTCTTTCTGCTGGCAGCCAAGGCCCAGTAACCCCTGTGTTCCCAAGTACAAACCACTCCAGGACCAGCCAAGTTCTGCTTGTTGCCTGAAAACCTTCTGTGGACATGCACTCACATTTAAAATTTGAAGCATGGTGTTAGCAGCCTGGCAGAAAACCTACAAAAATCAATGGTTCATTCTTGGGAAGAGAGTTGCACCCCAAAAGCTCCAGTGTCACAGAGGTGACAACACATGGGGCACCATCACCTTCACAGTGTCTCAGAAGCCTCTAAAGACAATAAAGACATTTTAGGAAAATCTTCACCGATTTATTTTCCTTTTTAAAAAATTGTATGTCTGTCAGGCATGATGGCTGGTGCTTGTAATCTCAGCACTCCAGAGGCTGAGGCAGGAGAAGAGACTTTGAGCCAGCTTGTACTACTAGGATACACAGCAAGTTCAAAGCCAGCCTGGGCTACATAGATCCTATCTCAAAAGACAAAAAAAAAAAAAATGGCATGTGATCTTTATAAGCCTAAGTACATCTAAAAGAATTTTTATCAGTAAGTATAAAAGAAAAATTCTAAGCCACAGAAACCTTAGGATCAAGCTCAGCCTTGTTTAGTTGGTAGCAATTTTCTTTCTTTGTAGTATATAAAGTTCCAGTGCTTTTTATATTCACATTGTTATCTCTACTTTTCAGCTGAGAAAACTGAAATTTAGACGATTCACCGTCTTACTGAAGGTCACACAGGAATAAACCACAGGGCAAGTCTCCAACTCAAACATGACTCCAGAATCTCTCTCCTCAGACACTAACCTGTGCTCTCTGCTTATTATTATTTAATAGACAGGTGTTAAGCTGATACAAATGTTGAAAATGTTATAAGATGTTTTCCCACCTTACAGGCGTTCTGAACTCCCTGCCGGGATCATCCGAGCTCTGATATCCCCGGCCTCTGATCCATGGTGGCTTGTCTATCACTTTGGGAGGCATCATCATCAAAAGAGAGCCAGGCACTGGCCCTGCTCCCAGGAAGTGGCCATGAGATAAGGGACCAAGATACCTCGTAAAGAATCTGCAAATGCTTACTCAGAAGTCAGAGAAGAGAGATTGCTACAGAGGGGAGACTGAGTCACGCTTTGTGAGGATTGGTGCAGGGTTTCCAGAAGAAGCAGGAATTCCAGCTAGAGAGCAAGAGTTGGGTGTATGATGCAGGTGAACAGGTGGGGGCTAGCCTGGCACAGAAGATGGATCAAACTATAGCTCCTCAAATACCAAACTGATAGTTTTAGACCCATTTAAGAAAAATAAATAGATAATAAATAAACACCAAGGGAAAGCAGGCCACAATTTTCAAGTTTTAAACAGAGACACACTAAGACCTCTTCCAGATGGGCACTTACCATGCAGAACAACCAAGTTGGCAGCCAGGGTGGAGACCCCTCTGGCATGCCACAAAGAGCCTTAAGGGACCCCACACTCTTGGGAGCTTTGGAGAGGGCCAGCCCGGATATATGGCCACTTTGGACAGGTGCAAGGGCCTGGCAGAGCACCCTCAGCTGCTAATGCCAGGCATGGGGAACCTCAAGTTTCTGTAGGACCACTTGTCAAGCGAGAGCATTAACAAAAAATGGGGTGGTGCCAACTGGGCCCCTAGAGACAGCAAGCAGCATGCAGGACAGTGTGCCAGTTCCTCCTGCAAACAATTCAGAGACGAAAGACCTCTGAGAACAAACTGGGAGTGATGACATAAACAGAGAGTGCCCATGCAGAAGGTTTGGTGGAAATATGTCCTCCCATCCCTGTGACCCGTCAAAGCTCTAGAGACCAGAGTCCTGAGAAAGAGCGGAACATACCATTCAGGAAACCCTGGGCCCCTTTTTGGTCCTAATTTGTGGGGCTTGGAGAGTGCGTGGTGATAAATATGAATGTTTTATATGTGCATGATGAATGTGAATTCCCAAAGAGAAGTAATTCAGAACTCAAGCCATAATAAAAGGCTACCTTGCCCTCAGGGGATGGTTTATAAGCATCCTGTTCACACAGTCAAGCCCCTGCAGCAAACCTTGATGGCTCAGCCCTCCCTGTTGTTGTATCAGCCAAGAGCTCAGTGACAAAAAAAAAAAAATTCAGAAAGTCAGTGCTGACCTGGAGGAAGTCCCACTTATGATGGTGGCCCTGGTCTGCCTGATGCTAAGGGCCCTCAATAAATGTTCCTAGAGAATGTGTGTGCACATGAAAACAGCACTCTGGCCATCCAGCCACATGTGAGCTCCCCTCAGATTAAAACAG